GTGCAAGCGCTTCGTTTTCTCATCTCCCTTCCTCCAAATCTCAGCATAGTGCTAGAAGTTCTATTTTTCTAAGACCCTTCTGGGCAGGCACCTTTAGCTGCTGCTATACTGAGAGTACTTTTGGGCACAGAACGAGTGGGGATGGGGAAGAGGATAAGGAATTTAACCAGAGAATCTGCCCTTCGGTGGGTTCGCAGAAGTTGCCCGCGTGTCCCTGTCGGCTTCGTCTTCAGAAGTTAACATGAGACGACCGTGTACCCCACCCGGAACCCCAGACAACTTCTTCGAAAGGAGGCCAAGAACACCAGCACCCAAATCCCCCTGGGGCCCTGCCATCCTCCCTAGAACCGTTGTTGATTTTTTAAAAAAAATAAAAACAATAGCGTCCTCTCTTCCTAAAATATCAGCCCATCAATCACCAGAATGGGTTTTCCAGGTGTGAATGACCCTCATCACGGTTTAATTTTTAGCATAAACTTTATACAATATACAACCGTGTTTGGAGGACGCGCTTCACGTGTGAATGGTGGAAATCAAGCGTGGAGAGTATGTACACGTGTGCACGAGCATGGGCACTCGTGGGCGGAGGGCGCTTCCTCTCCTCCGACGTCCAGCAGGGGGGCCGCTGCCCTTTCGGCTCCGACTCGGCGCGAACACAGTACGACGCGAGGGGGTGGGACAGAAAAGCACACCGAGTGCTGGTGCAGACCTCACCAGACCCTCGCCCAGCGCTTCCGACCCTGTTGACTGAAAGAATACGGGGCATCCGAAAGGTCTAATTTTGTCTCAAGTGAAAACACTGCTTTTGCGTTGAAAACCGCTGTGAGGTGTGGAATCCTTAAGTCCTGTTAGACACCAGCCAGTGAGTTTTGTTTCCGCGGACTCAGTGTTTTTCTCCCCCTGCCCCACCCACTCCCCGAACTCCAGTTTCGTGCGCTCTAGCCGCGGTCCACACAGACGGCTCTGTCTTCAGGAACGACTCATGTCCCCTGTGTAAGGACATCTGCGCGCACACAGCACGGCGATGTGCCTGCAGTGAGCAAACCCGTTCGGCTCTTCTGGAAGACACTTTGGTTTCTCCAATTTGTGTTTATTTAGGTCTTGCACTGTGCGGGATTTCAGTGCAAGGTATTTATTTATGCGACAACTGATTATTAGATCTGCACTTTTTAGGTTTAAGGAAATAAATTTTTAATCACCATTTAATTAACACCAACTTTTTCTTCCCCACCTTTTTCATTAGCAATTCTATTTGCAAAGAATTCAGGGCATTTGTCATTTCCTGAGCAGGACGCAGAATATTAAGCACACATCAGCGGCAGACTTATCAAACAGAATAAACAATGTGGGACTGTCTGGCCGCTCTGGCTCTTTGTACTAATGAACTGCCGTGGCCAGAGTCCCGTTTAAGTGAAACTATTTCATTTGTAAACAAGGTGCAATTTCTTGTTTCTCCCTTGAAAAGAAGTGTGAGTCGACGGGATTGATTTTGCTGCTGTGGGTGAATTTTGCTGGTCTGCTCAGAGCAGCCGAGTAGGGCAAGCTCGCAGGCCCTCTGGGACGGGAGAGGGAAACCAGGTACGATCCTCCAGACCCCCGTCGCGGCGCTGCCCGCAGTTACGGAGGGAGATCTGCAGAGGACGGCAGAGTGGGGAGACTGGAACCCTGCACTTGTCGTGGGAGCCTCGCTGGCAGGAAAACAGACCCATCAGGGAGCTGTCTGCTCGGAGCACTGACGTCAGGAGTGGCCCGAGACCTGCAGGGAGAACAACTGGGAAGACCGTGTTCCGGGAACTCAAGGGCTGCAGAGTAGAATTCAAGCCCGGAAGGCTCGCCTCTTACCCAGTTTTCAGCTGGGCCCGTGGGTACCTTCACCCATTGACAGAAACGCGAGCGTCCGCATTGAGCTGTTATCCGTCGGGCCCTCCTCAAGGGGAGAAAGCCGCTTAGGGTCCTTGCAGTGTCATTACGGATACCGGCTCTGACTTGAGTCAGGTGAAACCCAGGCACAATTTTGGCCTCAGAGATGCTGGCTCTTGGGCTCTCAGGTGGGGAGGTCAGACGAACCCTCTGTAAGGGACCCAGAGCTGGAGGGCTTTCTACTTACGTCTTGATACGCTTCTTCCAAAGAACAGAACTGACTCGAATCACTTTTGAATAGCTCTACGTCATCCTCTTTCACTGGGGAGATTGCCTATCTGATCAGCGGTCACTTTTCTTTATGCCTGGCATCATCACAATGAAGAGTCGATGAATTTGTGGACGAGGAAAATGATGTGTTCGTTATCGAAAGCATTCCAGTCCTCAGGGTTTATTTTTAAAACTGCGTTGGGTATTAAAGGAAGCACATCACCGTTGGTTCTTCCAAAAGCCCCATTTTTAGTTTTTTGTTTTGTTTTGTTTCGTTTTGTTTTAATCTAAAGAAGCAGACGGTTAACAGCAGAAATAATGCTGTTGTTAGAAGAAGGGGTTTGATCTATGGAACGGTTCTGGGTGTAATTTGCATTCTCCCTGGAGGTCTCGAGTCACTTTTGGCAGCCGCCCCCTGCCCGGGTTTTGAGGACACAGGAGGAAGACGGAAAGCCTCTTTGGGGCGATGACATGCCCCTGCTCTGTGTGCTGGGGGAGACTTTTAATTCGTCTCATGTCATGACATACCCATCGTGTCGGGGAAATGAGGTGAATCCTGGCTGGGGGAATGTAGGTCTGGAAAGCAATGGGAGGGCAAAGGCAGAAAGTTCTGAGAGAGAAGACAGCCAGGAGTTTGCCAAAGAATAGAAATGGGGATGAGGCCCTTCAGTCTGGGCTTCTGCATTCCTGGGTCTTGGGGCAAAAGCACAACATTTGAGAAAGAAAATGCAACGTTTGGATATGTTTGTCAGCAGTGCCTTAGCCGTCCCCTTCCGCCTCTCAGCCGCACGGTGACAGGAAGATGTCCTCGCCCGTGGCCGCCTCTGCCTCCCCACTGAAGATCCGAAAACTACTGCAACCCCTTCTCATCATTACTGGGCGCACCTGCCCGAAGATGGGGCCGTTCACGGAGTCCTCAAGCTCTAAGAGAATTGCTCGTGGCACCTGCCCGCTCGCCAGAAAACACCACTGACAGAACAGAACGTGCCGTCAGGAAAAGAAACAGGGTGGCTCTCAACCTGCCACTCGGGTGCCCTTCTCCAGGAACCCAGAGCAAAACGCAGGAGGAAACCAGGAGACGGGCAGGCTCGTTAGCCCAGGCTGGTGCTGATTGTCGCCGGGACAACTCAGCGACTCCACCAGACTGGACAGCCAGTTACCCTCGCTATTTCTGGGACGTTCGTGAAGTTAAAACACACTAAATTCAAACTCTTAAAAAAAGGGTTAACTAATGTGGTCTGTGGGTTTTATATTTAATTTTTAAGCTACAAAATTCTGGTGTGTCACTGCAGAACAACTACCTCCCCCGTTTTTTTTTTTTTTTTTTTTTGGCACCTGGCGTGGGTCCCCCTGTGCTGCGAGCTTCCCGTGTGGCAGACGCCCCTTCTGGCCCCGGTGTTTTTAAACGACTCTCATTCCAGGTCATAGAGGCACAGGTCTGAGTCAAGTAAAAAAGGGACGGTGGGGGGTGACTCGGAAATGACAAATGCTTTGGGGAGTTTCTCATAGATTCCCGTTGGTGCTGGTGAAGCGGTTTTGACTCCAGAGAGCGAACATTTTGGGAGAGAGGAATCACTTTTGCCACTAAGGCTGATCCACCACCAGGAGGATGCTCGGGGTGGGGGCACGAGTGTGTCTCCTGTTCTGGAGGCTTTCCATCTGAGGCTGGGGTGGAAACGCGTCCAACTGAATTTCCTGACGTGGAGGAAGACAGACGCAAAAGCTAGGGCTAGCCTTGAGCGGACGGAGGGCCCTGAACTTCTTACAGATCGCGGGACGCACACGGCTGCTGGCGCGAGCCACCGCGGTAACAGCTCTGGGAAGAGCAACACACACGTAATTAGACGCCACCATGGCCGTTCGGGGACGGAACGAGCGAGGGTCAGTCCGGGAGGAAAGGAGGGGTAACAGATACTATACAACCCTGAGTCGCCACCAGAAGGGCGGGGGGGACGCAAACTTACGTACGTGGGAAGTCTCCAGGATAGACTACAACAGCCACTGGGTCAGAGACGGGAGATCCGCAAGTCAGAGATCGGAGACAGACACACGTGAGTCTGCGGCTCCGATCAAGACCCTCGAAGCCGAGGGGGACAGAGCGTTCCGTGAGACGCGCAGGCTGACGTCCGGAGAGGTCCTCGGAGCTCTCCGCCTGAGGGCCCTTCTGGCCGCTTACTCCAGACGGGTCTTGGAAATAGACTCTAACGAAGGTAGCATAGTGACTGTGAACACACGCTTTTGCTATTCTTTGGGGGGAAGCCTGGAGTTTGGGGGCTGGGCCTGGGCAGTGATGGGAGGCGTAACATTAAAGCTGAAAACAGGTACAAGGCCAGACTCGCTAATCTCTTGCACGTCAATCTCGCTACAGTGCAGACGCTTTCGTCACTGTTGGGTCTGAGTCAGGGGGTCCATGCACACCGTACTGCTTATTCAGAACGAGAGCGACCACTAGGCATTTCTGATGAGAGCACATGGCGGACGGGCCATAATGGGGTTTGGAATATAGGAAATCAGAGCATCACCACCGGCATCCAACGCATTCTTATTGCCAACATACCTAGTGAGCATGTCCGGGAGACCTGCCCGGGTGTGTGTTTGTGTTTTTGGTTAAGGACTCACCCATCTGGTATCTGCCATGCTCAGCTCGCACCTCCCAAGATTCCTTGAGTGGAAGACGATGGCAAGGAGCCATGTGCAAAGAACCGACAAAAAAAAAAAAAAAAAAAAAAAAAAAGGAAAAAAAGGAAAAAAAAAATACCTTCCTAAATCCTCTTCCTCTTTGCAGGGCACCATCGGACATCCGACATTTACCCTCCAGCACGTCGGCCGCTACGTATGTTTCCCTATAGATAAAACATCAATGGAAGGTTTTAAACATCAGATTCAATACTAGGCATTTTCTTGTACACACGTCTATTGCTGCAGGGGTTCAAAACCCTGGGGTTAGAGTACATACTGTTCTTGTTTGCAGCATAAGGCATAACATGCTCTGGAATGTACACGTCGCCGGGGCCTCTGCTGTCCCTGGAGCAGTAGGATGCCGTTGACCTCAGGGACGATCGAAGGTAGCTGTCGTTCCCGGCCTGGGACGGCAGCGAGTGCTTGTAAGGGTCCGAGGGGCACCTCCCGATGACTAAGCGTCGGTCGTCCCCATAGCAACGGAGGAAGGGGTTATCGGAGGCGTGGTCGGGCAAGAGGGACTTGCTCCGCTTGCTGTCCTCCAGACCCTGCGGGAAGAGGGCGCTCTTGTTCCCCGAGAGTTTGCTGGCGGGCACGCTAAAGAGGCTCCCGTACAAATTCCCCTCCAGGAGCCGTTCCCGGTCCTTGAGGCTGATGCTCCTGGATGGCCTGCTGAGGTCTATCTCCCTGGGCTTGTCCACGATGTTATCGTAGGAGTGCTGACGGCTGATCCTGAGCTTGTTTTTCTGGAACTGGAGGGTGCTGTTCTGCGCCCAGTCCTGCTGGTAGACCTCCTCCTGGGCGGCCGGGCTGCCCGTCTCCTGGAGCATCTGGTCTTCGTCGATGTCGTACAGGTTGCCCATCCGCAGGCAGGCGTCGCACTTGAAGGGGGACCGCACGGTGAAGTGGCCCGAGTAGGCGGGCAGGTTGGACAGGCAGCTCCGGCAGTGCGTGGAGTTCTGCCGGTACCGGTCGCCACCCTCGCTTAGAGGAGAGCTCTTGTCTTTCAGGGTGAAGTGCTTGGAGTAGAATTTGTGTTTGTCGTTGTTGGGGAGCACGTCCTCGGTGTGCAGGGCGGTCCTGTTCGTGGGCAGCCCGGGGTCCCCCTTGCGGAAGTTTTCGTTGGGGTCCTGGTAGGGGTCGGGGAAGTCCACGTTCTCGGGCAGGGCCATGTTTTCCACGAACTGGGGCGGGTCCAGGTGGAAACTGGGCTCCTTCTCGCTGTCGATGGTGTAGATCTTGTCCCTGGGGGAGCCGGCTTTGGTTTTCAGGTGGGAGCGCTCGGCCTCGCTGCAGTCCTTGGGGAATTTGGAGGCCACGGACCTCTTGAAGTTGTCCTTGGTCTTGTGGTTCTTGCTGTTGTCGGGCTCCCTGTGGCACGTGGCCCGACTCGAAGTTTCTGAAACGTCCGAGTGGGCCACCTCTTCCGGAAGGTACCGAGGGCTCTTCAGGGAGTGGGTCCTGTTCTCCGCCGCCCCCTCGTCCCTCTGGGAGACCGGGTTCTGGCTCATCGAGTCCTGGCGCAGCGACTCCATGGATTTCTTCCACAGCTGCCGGGGCCTTGAGTTCGCTTTGGACTCGGTGCTCACGGCCACCTCCACCGTGTTGGGGTTGGACTCATTGAGAGTCAGGGGGTGCTGTCCCTGGAACACGTAGTTGTTGAGGTTGTCCTTGTGCCTGCTGGCCACGAACGTCTGCAGCTCGCTCATGTTGTCCCCAAAAATGTTGTCTTTCCCCTGAAAGGACCTGTTGTCCGAGTAGATCATATTTCCCTTATCGGAAACCATGTCCACGATGAGGGAGCCTCTCTGGATGAAGTCCGCAGCCCTCTTGGGGGAATCCATTCTCGAGGAGTTCACGTTGGACACGTCGGAGATGTTTTTGGCCGACCGGAGCAGCTTTAACATGTTGCTCTGGGACCCGGTCAGGTTGAAGTCTGGAGACTTCTTCTTCTCCTCGATGTGTACCCCGTGGATACAGCTGTAAATGCCCTGGGGGAAGGAACACGAGACAGGGTCAGCAGCAGCAGGAGCGTGAAACCGCCGCACGCCGGCCTTTACCTGCAAAGGAGGGATGTGTCCTTCCTGGAGGGGCCTTGGAGGGGATCCTGAAGTCCAGTCTGAATCCCGGCAATGTTTCCTAGACCTATGAGACCAGTAAGCTCATCTCTCTGGCTCGAGATTATCCAACACTTTTGCCAAGAGTCATGTGCGGAGTCTGAGGAAAGGTCCTTATCAGCTAGTGCTCGTGTATCTGATGACGGTCTCAGGGCCTCCAGACTGGCAGGGGAGGATACTGAGTTGGTAGCGGGTCGCTAGCTTACGTTTCACTGCAGTTTCCCAGGATCACCTCTGGAGTCTGGATACCAGTCAGCTATTACACTTGCATAAAAGGACCACCGGTTATTCATTCTTTAGGGGAAGAAGCTAGCCGTCGAGGCATGAGACCCAAGCAAGTGAATGAGAAAACCCTTTGTGGTTACTTGAAGGCTGGGCATAAAAATCCGTGGGTGATAAGACATTTTGGGGAAGGAAAGATGGAGAAGTTAGGCTAGAAGAAGCAGTTCCAAGGGACTAGTCTTGCCACCCTGTGGAGGCGTTAGCCTGAGAGTGAAACTGTCTTAGGAAAGAGCAGAGCCCGGGATGGAGAGACAGGACACTCTTTGAACCCCTGAGGCCACTTGGGACTTTTCACAGATGCCGAGTATATCCTTTTGTGTGCGTGTGTGTCTGTTCGACACAGAGTTGGGTACTAGCCATGAGGAACGGTGGAGAATCCCAAGGTCACAGTAATGCAGCCCTGAAACCCGCCCAAGGACGGAGGGACTTGGGGACTACTGGGTGTCTCAGACATAAGCACCCCCGACTGTGGGTCTCTGGTTTTCCACGCCGCCTCACTCCTTTCGTAAAAATAGCTGTTTACTTCAAAGTAAGTCAAGAGAGGAGCTCCTGCTTTGTGACCCAACAGTAGGCAAGGCGGCTTCGGGAACACTGTGATTTGTGCCCTCCTTCCCCTGCTGCGGGCCCCAGATTTTGGCAGCCGTACCTAAAGGGGATGGTCAAACAAGGTCCTCCCAAGACCGAAAGGGAGCCAGTCCAAGCAGGGGTCTGTAAGGCAGACGTGGTGGCCGCTGCTGACTGCGGTGTGAACTAGTGGAAAGGGTGCGTGGGTAGCTGTGGACCCTGACGACCGTGGCCCCGCTGGCTCCCGGCCATGGGGATGCTCACAGAACGGCAACACCCTCAATCTGTTTGCACGGCTGCATTTTTCTTGGAGCTTTCTGAAGAGTGTCCACTCCGCCTTCTAGGAGCAGTACACAGGGAACCCGCAGTAGTGACTCTGAGCATCTTTTTCTCTGACCCTCTGTACCCTGGGTGGCATGGCTTGGGCTCCCCAGAGCCTGGCATTGTGCCTTTTCCCGCCTTCCTGGAGCCTGGTCTTCTGTCCCCTCTGCCTTGCTTCCACAGCTGGTGGCAGTCACACCAGTGCGCCATGGGCTTCACCTAGCACACAGCTTCTGGACTGTGTATGTGAACCCGTGCCTGCCCTGCCCAGCTTGGTAACAGAGTAATCCTACGCCCGGACCCAGGGAGGTGTGGCCTGTGTGGATGAGAACTGGTGTGTCTCCTGCATGTTTGGGTCAGCAGAGGTCTGTGCCTTTTCTTCCTTTGGTTAGTATTATAAAGAGAGTTTACATTTTTTTCCCCTAAACCTGTAACTGTTCTGATGAGCTCCCGGTGCCCTGCTAGAGATTTTGAGAACTTTCCTCCACCCCTCCCCTGACAGCAATATGCCCTCACTGGCCAAGAGGAGCTGGCTGTCCGTGTGGGGGAGGCCCACGAAGTGGTCAGGGAGCTGAGTTACATCTCAGGAATGGGGGGATGGCCGCTGATGGCTTTCTGTCACCCCTGGCTCCCCTGGGACTCACAGGCTGCAGCTCAGGCAGCTCCCAGGCGCTGATGTGCCTGGCGAAGCCTCGGGAAGGAGTCCAGGTGATGGCCTGGGTGGGGGGCAGCCTTCTCCCACTGAGTTGACCCATTTTCTTGATGGGCTGCCGAGGAGGGGGGTGCATAGCAGCGAAATGCAGAGAGAACGAGAGCCTGGAACCCAATGGAAGTGAGTCCCGGCTCCACCTGTCATTGGCTCTGTGACTTTGGATAAGCCACTAAGCTTTTTGAGCCTCAGTTTCCACATTTGCACAGTGGGAACCACACACTCTCCAGGGGGGTAGAGGGCAGGATAATACGATGCAGACAAAGCCTCAGGTTCAGGAGAGGCTCCAGGAACGTGAGCAGGATGACCTGCGCCATGGGTCGTCCCCGATGTACCCTACAGTGTCCCCTCCACCCCTCACATGCTATCACCAGCACCCGGAGCCCATGTTCCCAAAGTGGCAAGAAGCGCCATCTGCGGTCTGCTATAGAAGGTTCGCTCTGGTTAGGGAGCAGCCCAGACTCTCTCTCAGGAGCAGGCCCCAGGCCGCAGAGCTCTTGCTCATGTCTCGTCTTGTTACATGGAGACTAAGGCTGTATCCTTCCAGGGGTGGGAACAAGATGCCTTCCTGGCCCCACAGTGGCCGTGGGGAGAGCCGCACTGAGGACTGTGTGCTGCCCCAGACAATCAGCTCTTCTCCCCTCAAGGGCTTCTCTCAGAATGTTCTAGAAGGGTCGTGGGTTCTGCAGCCCTCCATGGTTCCCTGGAGTCTGGACCTGACCCCTGAAGTATATGCTAAGGCCTAAATGTTTATACCCTCCTCCAAGTTCACATGTTGGGATCCTCACCCTAAAAGTAGATGGTGTGAGGAGGTGGGGCCTTTGGGAGGGGATGAGGTCCTGTGGGTGGGGTGCTCGTGAGTGGGATTAGTGCCCTTAGAAGAGAAACCCCAGAGAGCATCCTCACCCCCTCCATGTTGTGAGGACACAAGGGGTAGTCTGTGGCCCAGAGGAGGACCTTCACCTGACCTTGCTGGCACCCCAGCCTCCAGACCCCCAGCCTCCAGAACTCTGAGAAGCAAATGTCTGCTGTTGGTGAGCCACCTGGTCTGTGGTAGTTAGTTATCGTGGCGCTAACAGACTGAGGCAGTGTCTGACTTCTGCTCTCTTGGTCCCGGGTGTGGCTGAGCCAGAAGCTCCCTTCACTGTCCCCAGACTCCCCTCGGGGGAGCCCACCGGGTGCAGGCTGCACAGTTTCCATCCCCCTGGTGTCTGTCTTTGCTTTGTCTCCCATTCCTCGTGACCGAAAACTGAGGCAGTTCTTTTTGCTGGTGAGAGTGAATACTGCGTTGTATGTGAGAGGGAGAGCATTTTGGAGAGAAAAATTAAGAGCCTCCCACAGACTAGAGAACAGTTTTTTTTTTTGTTTTGTTTTTTTGTTTTGTTTTGTTTTTTTAAGTCAAAATCAAGGCAAAGGCCATGGCTGTGGGAGAAAGTGGGTTCTAATGACTTCTTGGAGCTCTGGTTCTCCCCTGTGCAGGAGTGGCCAGGAGCGGCCGTAGGTCTGGTCTGTATTCCGTTCTACGATCCAGCAGCTTCCCGAGGGGCATCCAGCCCCCAGGGAGGACTGCCCGTGTCTGCGGCAGTGGCAGCCAGCTTATGGGCTGGGCGCTCCAGCTGCCCCAAGAGCTGGTTCGCAGAGAGACCTGGCTCACGGGCAGATGGGAACGTGCCTCGGGGGCAAGTGCATTTCAGAGCAGCAGGCATCTCCGTCCCCCGGAAGGGAACCTACCCTCAGACCCAGGACCCAGCCCTGTGCAACTGACAGGCTTCCCCTTTCCTGCCATTTTCTGGCCTGCTCCGTGAAGTAGGAAGAACCCTGTAGTTTCAAGGACATTTAAGGTGAAGCCAAAGGGTCCCGTTCCGGCCATTGTTGGGGCCTCAGTTTCTCCACATCCACAGGATGGGGGTGAGCGAATCAAACTCACAGGGGTTGTGAGAGAGGATGGAGGAAACCTAACTGGCCCAGCCCTTATTCACATGCGACCGTAAGTAACTGTGGGGTTGTGGTCTTCCCTTTGTAGGAAGGTGGGTTCTTGACTTGGAGATTCTGTACTGCAGGTTTGTTTAAAAAAGAAAAAATTGTGTGTGCACAACTAAGATGATTTTGTCTGTGTTCTTTGTGTAAGGGATATAGACGTAAGGTGGCATATGCATGAGTGTGCCCATAAGACAAGTTTTAGAGATGTGTGTTAGCCCGTGATGAGAAAGAGAGACCTTTTTTTTTTCTTTTTAAAGCAATGCATGGCATCAGGGCCTGAGCCGTTCTGAGTTCCCCTAACAAACAAGAGAGGCAGGAAAGTATATTAAATATGAAATCCTTCTATACACACATATCAAGCTGCACTCATTTTAAAAGGTATTATCTGGGGAGAAGGAGGGTCAGTGCTGAAGCAGGGCTCCGTGCCGCCTTTGAGGACACAGGAATGATGGTGGCTGAGAGTCCCCAGAGGGGCACGGGAGTCCTGGCAGTGCTCCTTTGAGACACAGGGTCCTCTCTCCCCGAGGGAGGGGAGACTGAAGTTCGGATTCCAGTATGCCTGGCTCCTGTGTGCCCCACCCCCCTCCAATCCTGTCCCTCAAGATGCTTGCAAGTGGGGCATTTAGTTCATTTCTCATAACGACAGTCCTCTCCACTCTGCTTCCTTAATGGCGTCTCAGAGGGAGAGCTCTTCAGATACAAGCAGGATTTACAAGGAAAAGCAAAAGTGTGCATTTGCTCGTGATAATCCCAGAGTTGTTTGGATATGGAAGGCCTTTAGTAACTGGTGGAGAGAATTAGCTTAAAGTTGGCATAATACCTAGCTATGTGCACACACATTGTTATTCTTAAGGAATCTGTGTTTAGATGCCATCAAGTTAATTAGGAAATATGTATTTGCACAGAATGCAAGAGTGCCACTGAACAGAAAAATAAATCCTCCTCACTAAGCTAATCTGTGCCTTCTGAATCTCCAAAGTTCTTAAAATCACCAAATGCTAAGAATATACAAGTTCCTTTAAAAATGATTATTTCATTTTCCCCCAATAACCACTAGCATCCCTAAACCAGGTGTTTTCCACCAGATGTTTTTCATTAAATTCTTTTAGCGTGAAAACATTCCAAGGTGAGTACACAGGAGAAATAGGTAAACACATGGATGGATGAATGGAGGGGTGGGTAGATGGATGAGATAGATGGGTGGATGGATGGACGGACGGATGAAACAGATGGCTGGATGGGTGGGTGGGTGGATGGACAAACGGACGGACAGATGGGTGGATGGATGGATGGACCAATGGACAGACGGGTGGAATGGAATAGGTGGATGGATGGGTGGGTGGAATGGATGGACGGATGGATGGGTGGGTGGGTGGATGGACAGACGGATGGACGGATGGATGGACGGATGGATGGGTGGGTGGGTGGGTGGGTGGATGGACAGATGAGTGGAATGGATGGGTGGGTGGACGGATGGAAAGATGACTGAGTGCAAGATAAATAATGTTACATTCTGTTAGAAGAGGAGTGAACATGTACGTAGGATGCAACCAAGTGACAAGACTGTGTTGAACATGTAAACACGTCCGTTGTGTGCACGTATGTGTTGTGTAGTATGATTTGTATCAAACCTCTTGGGTTGCTTGTATTGGATGTTGGTTTCTATAAGAGTCTGTGCTCTGGCTGGTACCACGCCACCCAGATTCAAGTCCCAGCTCCACCAAAGACTGTGCCACCTTGCATAATTCCCTAACCTCCTAACGTTGAGTCTCCCCATCTGTCATCTGGGGCCAGTAACGGGTACCCACCTCACAGAGACGGCTTGTGGCTTAAATGAGATGAAGAGTACACAGCCCTTACAGGGTGCCTGGCACATACAGGGGCTCCACAAATAGAAGCAATTTCCGTGATTGTTGTCATTACTGATGAATTACAGGGACCGTTTTATGGTGACATACACATGCTGTACTGTGCACCAGGAGGGGGTTTCCTTGTGTACGGTGTGCGCTCAGTACATCAGGTGTGTTCTGGGCTGTCGTTTATGCTGGGCTGACTGTGTACTTTGGTTTTCTATTTGATGTGTGTGCATCTTCTCATAGTGAGTCAGGTCTTTGTTCCGTCTGAGGCTCTGTCGCATTACACGTGCTCCCTGTGTTGGGTTAGATGTGTGAACACAAAGCATGGCACTGTACCGACATTTTGCTTTGGCACACATGTCCTGTTGGGACGCGTGCATGAGCTGTAATGTCCTATCTGGGGATTTTAGTGGTGGACCCCCACAGACAGCTGCGTTTGGCTTATCGGGTATTTTTTTATTATTTGAATTAGTTACTAATATTTAAAAACTGAAAAGTTTTGCGTCAAGTCAGATGACTACTTTCTCTCTTAAAGACTAGATGACCCAGTAATGTGGTCCTTTCAGTCCCATAATACTCTGCAGGACTTAAGGAGGACGGACCCCTTCGCAGGGTGGGGGGTTGGCATCCTCGAGTGCTCCCTCACCTTGACCCCCAGGGGCATTTGCTGGGTTTCATCTCACATTCAGCTCGTTTTCATGCCCAACCCACTTCACCCCCGTTCTCCTTCCCCCTCGGGCTTGCACGGTCACCTGGGCTTGCTGCGGCTGGGTTCTGAAGGCCCAGAGCCTGGATTCCTTTCCCACAGGCCCCAAAAGGGGTGGTGAGCCAGAGGGAGGATGGGCCCCCCGCCCCCCACCCAGGAGTCAGGAAGCCCCGGTTCTCTGGAAGCCGCAGAAGGGAGTAGCCGGCGGGGGGTACTGACCCTGCTGATGGAGAAGAGCAGCCCCGGGCGGTCGGAGCAGACGCCGGTGAAGCAGAAGCGCAGCTTCCAGTAGAAGAGGTGTTCCCAGATGAAGGTGATGAGGCTGAGAGCCATGGCGGCCGCCAGCATGTAGAACACGCCCGCCATGTTGTCGATGTCCAGCTGGCTGCTCATCACCTCGTTCTTCTCGTTGTGGCAGATCCCCGTGAGCCACAGGGTCTCCAGCTCCTCCATCTCGCCTGCACGGGAGACAAGAGCCGCAGGCAGTGAGGAGCGGGGCGTGCGCTGGGGGGTCTGGGGCGGAGCCGGCGGACTCGGAGCTGGGGGGGCCCCGGCGCCTCACCGAGCGCTCCAGGCATGCGCATGCGCACGCCCACAGGGACGCTCCGGTGTTAGCGGGACCCACCTAAGACCGCTGTCGGGAGGGCAAATAGGGCAATATGTCGTCGGGTACAGTTAAATTACATTTTGTTCTGCCCACCCTCCTTTTCTCAACCCCCCGTCCCCGGCACCCACTCCCGCCTGGAACAGGGCGGGGCACGAACTGGCAGCTCGCCACCACGGAAACGCTCGCATCCCAACTCGGACTTCACCCCTCACTAGCTGGGGGGCTGCAGGGCCGCAGCTCTCCCGTCTCTGAACTACCCAGAGCAGCACTGCACGCGTCCTAGCGTTCACACGAGGACCAAAGGAGCTCAGTCTGCAAACGTCCTAAACGCAGTGCCCGGCTCACAAGTTTTTCCTAAATAGTAGCGTTCCCGGGGCTGTATCGAAGGAAGCGCCCAGCACCGTGCCGGGCCCACGGCGGTCAGTTTCCTCTTGCGTCTCCCTTTAGGTTATCTGGGATTGTTCCAAGATGCCACCCACCGAGGGCACTGCACTGAGGGCAGAAAGCCCTGGAAAGAGACATCCCAATCAGCTCTGAATGGCCCCTTGCAAACGCAACCCCTCCTCACTTCGGCAGGCAGTTAAAGGAGCAGGTGGGGCTTTCAGGGGGAGAGAAAAAGGAGGCGTGCTCACCATGGCGTTGTCTTTCTGTGGATTTCATCCAGTTGCCTTTTAGGAGGGAATTCTCTGATCTCGATGTCTAGCAATTAAGCTGTCTAGCAATTCACTAAACTGTGGCACTTATACTATGATTCAGACTTCAAAAATTATCCTTCAAGGACACCGAAAATCAACAGGACGCATACAATATTAAATGAAAAGTATGACCATGTTGTGTGTGCACGCGTGTGTGTGTGTGCACGCGCATGTGTCTGTAGATACAATAAGAAACATGCTAAGAAAAGGAAACACTCCAAATGTTTCTTTGATTTCTCGTTTGAAGAGGTGAGCATAATTAACTGTTTCCATAATGCTCTTTTTTTAAGTTTCGTAAAATTAGTGTGTCATGCTCTTGGTTCATTCACCTCTTGAATGATTTGGCTGAACAGAGAAATCTAAGTTGATCCTTATTTCCCCCAGGCCTTTTGAAGATGTTACTGAGTTTTCCTCTGATCTAGATTACCGTTGTTGAGAAGTTGGCTAATAATCTAACTTTTGCTACTCCCTGTGCGATCTGTGTTTTCTTTTGGATGGGGTTTGAGACTTTCATTTTGTCTTCGGTGTGGAATGTAGGTGTAGATTTGCTTTATTATTTGTTTGACTTTGGACTCTGTGTCATTCTTCCAGGTGTGACTCTGGACTTTAATTCTGGAAAAATATCTCACCTATTCCTGCTTTGCATATCAACCTTCCCTATACCCCCCACTTTTTTTAAATCAGTAGACTATTTTTCTAGAGTAGTTTTAGGGTTACAGAAACACTAAGCAGATAGTACAGAGTTCCCATAACTCCTTCCCATTCCCTCTATTTCTCTAACATGTGACACTGGGGCGGTAATTTTTTTTTTTCCAATTTATGAACCAATCTTTATACATTAACTAAAGCCCAATTTACATTAGGGTTTATATATATATTATATATATAATACACATATTTATGTATAATATACATGGAAAAATATATATAAATATAATCTATTATATATACATATTATACATATATGTGTATATATACATATTATACGTAAATATACATAAATATGTATATTTTATACATTAACTAAGCACACAATTAACATTAGGGTTCATGCTTTGTGTTGTCCCGTTCCGTGGATTTTGCCCAATGCCTAATGCCATGTGTCCATCACTACAGTATCATACAGAATAGTCCTTCTGCCTCCAAAGTCCCACATGTGCCAGCCGGTTCAATTCTCTTCACGCCCCATTCTAACCCCTGGTAACCACTCATCTTTTAATGGTCCCCGTAGTTTTGCCCTTTCCAGAATATCCTATAGCTGGAACCACGGTGCACATGGCAGCCTTTTCCAACTGACTTCTTTCATGGTAACAAGATGTATTTTTTTTTCCAAGGGGAGCAGTCCTCTGATTTGTAAAAAGATGAAACAATTTAAAATGATCCAAAGCATCAATTCAAAGCAACATCAAAAAGCGAGCACACTTAACTTGCTCAGTTCATAGCAGACCAAGCGGGTAAGTGGGATAATTCACGCTGTAGCAGTTTGCTGTTTGACCTGGTGGGGTGGGGGGAACTGATCAAGGCAGAGGCACTCTAGCTTTGAAGAACTAGAACTGAGGGGTTCCACAGTGATCTGGCATCATCATTTACTCTTGTATTTATGGTTAGAAATGTACACGGTGGGAACTCCAGGTATCTTCTGGATCCTTCCTTTAAGTCCCCGTTAACTGTGGCCACAGTGTTAGCACATGGGCTGAGAACAACGTGCACTTAAATTCCTCCACTTCTGTCTACGGCTTGACAGCTTTTTACTTGCGAGTAATTTCCATCGCATAGAGGTATGGTCTGTTTACCGTTCACCCGGTGAAAGACATCCTGGCTGCTTCTGAGTTACGACAATTAGGAATCATTGGATGCTGTCAACATCCGTGTGCAGGTTTTCCTGTGGATAGCCATTTTCAACTCCTTTGGGTAAATATGGGAGCACAACAGTGGGATTTTATGGTACGAATATGTTTAGCCTTGTGGGAAACTGCCTCTTCCAAGTGGCCGTGCCATTTTGTGTCCCCACCAGCAATGAATGAGCGTCGCCGTTGCTCCACACCCTCACCAGAATTTATCAGCATTGTCAGTGTTTTGGATTTTAGCCGTTCTAATAAGGTACATAGAGGTATAGCACCGTTTTAATCAGCAACCCCCTAAGAACACATGATCGTTCTATCTTTTCTCTTCTCCTGAAAATTGTGTTTAAAATATTCTAAACCTTCTCATTCTGTCCTCCAGGTTATTAACTTTGTTTTAATATTTTTCCACTCCTTGATGCCTCTGTCCTACAGTTAGATGCTTCCCACAGACCTATTTTCCAGCTCATTTATTCTTTCATTAATAATTTTAGCTTTCTGCTTTCATTTAATCTGTTCTAATTGTGATACTCATCCCGCCATCTTAAAATTCTGCCCATTCTTTTTCATCATAACGTCTCATTCTTCTGTTACAAGTCTTAAAAAACTTCTCCACATTTAATAATTTCAAACCCACCATCTTTCAGATTAGTCTCTGCCCTTCCTCCTACCCACCACCTTGGTTCCTGGGGTTCACGCTGTCTGCTTGCTGTGTGTGCTGGCTCTCGCGGCGGAGTTCTTCCTTGTGACATTCGTAACTTCGGGGGATGAGCTCATCTTCAGCAGGGCTGCTGTCCCTCTAAACCCCACGAGGCCCCTGAGCACATTGGGCTATAGAAACATTCCTACAGCGGGGTGCTGAGTTTGCTTCTGCCATGGTTCCAGAGGCTTCCAACGTACCTGTTTTTGTATGAGACACGTGGCTGTCCCTGCCCACGGGTTCATGCTTGGACCTCCAGTCATCCAGGTTTTAATTTCTCCCTCGGAGCTTCAAACAGATGGCAAAAACTTTTTGTACTTTCTTCGTGTTGATGGACAGTTTTTTTTCTAGTCTTTTCACAGATGCGCTGATTCACTGGGGTTTCTCAGATTCATGCAGGGGTATCATTTTTTGCTCTCTGCATAGTTCAGGCCCCTCTTGTGGATGCTAAAGCCTCGGTCTCCACCCCTGAGCCCTACACCCCCTTAGGCTGCTGAGCATCCGTGGAAGGTGATGTGAGACTAGCCCATTCCCCTCTGTTACCAGCACCCAAGTCTTCCCCTTTCTTTTGCTCATGGTGTGTGCAAATGTGTGAGTGTGTGAGCACTCCCTTCTGATCCTGCACCAGGATGTGTTTGCAGCAGGAAAGGGGCTCCTGTCAATTTAGCCTCCCACCATACCCCAACCACACAGACGTGTATACCTTTTGTTGTATGGCTAAAAATACTTTCACATTTATGGGAGGGAAAAACAGGAAACCTATCCTTTCATAAATTCATCACCCAGCAAGAAGGGTGTGGTTAATCAGCGGCGTAGGCGTGGGAAGGGGCTTCTTGGTCTCTGTTCCTGTCCTTCCAACAGCCTGCGGGGGCTGCCTCGGGTCGTGCTTGTCCTGGGGGGTGGCTTCTGTGGTATCACATCACTGTCCAGCCAGCAGCCCTCGGCTCATCCCCTCGCTTCTGCCTGCCACGTGCCTCCTGATGTACAGCATGGCTTCCTCTTCCCAGAGACCCGGACGCCTTCCCTACAACACCCCAGCATGCTGCCGCCGTCCCTCTCCCTTTGGACTCTACAAGGACACAAAAGCGGGTCTCTCTGTACCTCGCTCTGTTCCCATTGGGGTCGTCCTAGACACAGCCAGGTTTGTGAGCCTAGACCAGGGTCCGTCTGGGTGGAAGAAATATCACTGGATTCCTTTCATGGGGTAAACGTAAAGCTCTTTCCACCACCCTCTGACCCAACACCTCCCTCCCAGGAAGGCGATCTGGGAAACCAGACCCGCACCACGCAAGGAGGGCGCATGCCCCGTCCTCAATCCCAGTTATGGCCTCTGCTGCCATCACTTCGAAGTCCTTTAGTTCCTGCCTCATGGCCTTCTCCTGGCGCACAGAACTGTAGTTCAAATACGTTTTTATTTCGTTTTTAATTTACTCAAGTATATTGTAATCTCCTCGGGGGCGATCAGGTGTTTCAGGATTCTGGTATTTCTCATGGCCGGCAGCACATTGCAAGGACTGAATCCGTATTTTCTTTTCTTTTTTAGATTTTGTTTATAAATTTATTTATTTGACAGACAAGAGAACACAAGTAGGCAGAAAGAGAGAGGAGGAAGCAG